TCCATTCATGACCTTCCTATCAATGGAATGAGAATGTGAATGGAATAAGCATTTTGGATGGTTATTTTGTTGAAAACATGATAATCCATGCATTGTCTTAAATATTTTTTTGGAAACAAAGAAAAAAAACCTGTACCCACTGGTGAAGTTGACCTTCTCATGAATCTCTTTTCCAAAGAAATAACCCGGCACCCACTAGTGAAGTTGACCTACTCATGAATCTCTTTTAAGTATTCCTTCATGATGATACTCTCGTTAGGAGAACCCTTAGTTTAGGTGGCATATTACCTGGGAGTAATCACTAGTGCAATAGTATGCTCTGTGTGGGGACAATTTGTCAGAATGTATTTTTTTTTGTGACAATTTTTATTGCTTTTTTTAATTGATAAGGGGATAGGGTACAGAAAAAAAGGAAGGTAAAATAATCCATTCTTGGGTGTAAAGGACCCAACATGTGTGACTAGATGGGCCGAATGGTTCTTATCTGCCGTCACATTCTATGTTTCTATGTTCTATTTAACAGTAATTCTCTAAACTCTAACCCTTGCTTGTCAGGAACATTTGTGGATTGTCTACCATGCAGGAATACTGTAGAGGTTAGTTAAACAACATCATTTAAGGACATATTCACGGCTTTATAATTCCAATCAGTATTTAAACTCATGTTACAACAAAGTGGTCCGCAGGTGGTTGCAACACTCCTTAGTGGACTAACATGTCATCTATGTGCTGTCAATGATTTCCCATAGTAGAGAGGTGTTTGGTTGAGTACCTTGTGGAGAGTCCCTAGGTGGGCCACTCAGGTGCATGAGCTTGGAGCCATACAGTCTAGAGAATTCATTTGTACCTTGTCACCAACTATATACAATTCAATATGCCAGTAAAAAGGGGATAAATGGGGGGGGGGGGGAAGAAACAGGAGGAAGGATGCCTAAAGAGCAGGTTAGCCTCACAGGTCATTTATGAAAAGCAAATTTTACCATTATGTCAGCCTACGCCTATTATTCTACGTAGTTGTGTGAAGTGACATGTTTCCCTGGGTCTTCTCTACGAATAACCCACCCCGTGTTCTCCTGTGATGTCTTGGGAGGCAAGTATGAATAGGTTGGTAGGATGGTTTGCACATTATAAGTCAGTCAGTCGCTCTACCATTAGGTGGGATAGGTCAGGGGCATGGCGGATCTGTTGATTGATCCAATGGGTATATATAGTTATCCCACACCTCTTTGGCTCTTCCAAAGAATGTGTTGGTGTCCTCTTGGTATCTAGCCATATACTTGTAGTCTAGGTAGATAGGCGTGTCTTGAGGGAGCCTCCACTGACTTTCAGGCCTGTGCTAATAGTGTCAAGGCTGTAACTAAAACATGAAATACCAAAATAGCCCCCCACTTTGGAAATGTATCAATATTTAAAAGCAATAGACCTAGGCTTGGTGTAAGTATTATTTCAGTTTTTAGGACTTGCGATAGAATGTCCTCTACTAACCGCCAGTAAGGCTGAATGTGGTTATAGGACCATCATTTATGATACATTGTACCTCTGTCAGCTTTACATCTCCAACATATGTCCTTTGTACCTGGAAATATTTTTGCCAGTCTAGATGGCACCATATACCATCTGTAAAATATTATCCTCAGCAATTCTATGTGTAAGGTGCAGGATGTTCTCCCTTTGTGTGCAGTAAGTGCTTTTGACCATTGTAGGATTGGTCTGCCTGCCATGCTAAACTAAATTTATCCAGCGTTTTCTTATCACGTCTGTTAAGGAGGTTATAACATGTAGAAAGTAGCTTTCTTGGGGGGGTCAGCGCTGGGCACGCTGACTCAAACTCCAATTTCGGGGTTGGCTCTGTAGGGTTAGTGTTTCGGGATGATAGCATTGATTTGATCTGGAGGTATGAAAATATTGCTCTAGTGGGAAGGTTAAATTTCTCCTGGAGGTCCAGAAATTGTAGCAGTGTGGTTCCCTGAAATAGGTGTTGCACGTGAGTGCACCCTCCCTCAACCCACGCTCGGTAATTAAAAATTTGGCTGGCTATGTTGGGGCTTGATATCGGTGCAGCCTGTGACCAGGTGTGATTGGAGCATAGTTCATCTCAGTTTGCATCCCAGGTTGTTAGGAGTGTTTTTGTAGTTGGGAGCAGGTTTGGTAACACAGGGCGTGCTTGTTTAGGTACCCATATTAGGCTATTAGGCATATTAGGTATGAGAAGAACTTAATTCTATCACTGATGCCAGCAGGGCTGCTCTGTGGTACAATCAATAGCTACATGCAGGAATCCATTCAGTTAGCATTCCGTGAAACTCTCTCTACATTGTTCAAAGCTCTTGGTTTATGGTTATATAACCAAGGAAATTCCAAGACCACACTGCAGGAAGGATAAGATGTAACCTACACTACTCTGGATTCTGTGCAATGCTGCTATGGTAAGTGTATTAAAAGATCTAAGAAACAGATATACTATAGGTAACACACAGAATAAAGAATAGTTGGATACAAGCCAGTGTCAATAACCAGGAATCAAGAAAAGAAATGAATGCTCATACATTAACCACAAGGGAAACCACAACAGGACAAGGATCAAGAATGGCTTAAAAAGGCACAGGTACTCTCCAATTGACCAGCATCATGTGTGATGCTGGAACGTGTGTTTGTGGCTTTGCACTAATTACATAATCATGTTAACACTGTGTGTGACACAAGCACTGAGCACGTCATAAATGGAGCCGGGTTAGCAGCTTTCTGCATTGGGAAGATGCCGGAAAGCACAGAGAGCGCCCAGGAGGCCATAGACTCTATAACAGGATGCCTGGTTAGTGGAATAACCACAGGTATGGTAACAGTGTGGTGGAGATACCTGTGTTGTTTGTGACTGTAGTGGCTTGTTGAATGTGGAGAAGGATGATGGGGGCTGAGTGTTGTGTGTGTATAGGGGAGACAAAATGTGATTCAGTGTCTGAGAGTGTGTGTGGAGTTTTTTTTTATTTGCCCAGCTACTGCTGGCTATTTGCTGGAGGTTGTGAAATCCCTGGTGGTCAAGTGGAGCCCATTCATTGCAGAATCCCTTGTACTACAGTGGAGGCACACTGGGAAGTAGGATCTTTAGTGGTCTGGTGGGGGAGCATTGTGCTCTGCACTAATGTTGGGTGCAGATCACTGTAAGTGCTTGCTCAATGGTCAATAACTGAGAGTGCTGGCTGCAAACCTCTGAGTCATCGAGAAGTTCCAGGGGAGCACAAGTGTGCTTTTAAAGTGATCTTCACCCAAGAGAGATACCGACCACAAAGCTCCTGCAAGCAGGTGAGGGAGCAGAGGGCCTAGCAGGGAATCTGTTGATGTCTCTACCATCTCAAAGAAGGCACAGTGTTCCAACCCAGACAGTGGCCATCGAGCATATGTCTGAGCATAGCTAATAGGCAGCTGCCTATGTCGCCTAGTGGTTAATTTGGCTCTGGTTTGTGGCATTGATTCAATAAGGTGCCTGAAATCTTCCCTGGAGATTTTGTCCATGCTGACTCAATAGCATCACAAAATCTCTGCAGATCTTTTCACCCATCCTTTACATTCATGTCTGAGATGAGATGAACTTTGTGATATGGCCAAAGTTCCTACTGGAGGTATTCGCCCATAAACCCTTCATCCCTTTACAATAAATCACCCTCATGCTGCTCCCCCTGTTCCTCATGAAATATATATGAAACCACATACAGTATTTACTCAAATCTAATGCGCCATCGAATCTAATACGCACCTCAATTTTTGAAACCTGAAAAATGTTTTTTTACTGGTAAATGTAATGCGCATTTATACTACTATACAACACTGTACTACAATGAAAATTTTTATGGTCGTATACCATAGAAATAATTGATGGTATTTCAATTTTAGTGTTACACCTAAAGTCTATTCTTTCAGGAAAAATTTTATGGTCGTATACCATAGAAATAATTGATGGTATTTCAATTTTAGTGTTACACCTAAAGTCTATTCTTTCAGGAACAAATAGGCGAATTCGCCTATTTGAATCTGCCTGTATGAATTCACCTATTTGAATTCACCTGATTTAATTCGCTAGAATGCAATTCACCAGAAAATTTAGAATTTTGCCCCAAATGTAATGCGCCATCAAATCTAATGCTCAAATTTTGGAAACGTTATTTTCAAAAAAATTGTTTCTGTGAGAGGGACATTGATAATTAGAAGGATTAGATATAGGCGTTGGAACTGTGTAAGATGGAGGAGGAGCAAATTTCATGTTTCTATGTTTCTAAAACATTGTATATATTTTAAGATCATATGTGGTGCCGTGATTATTATGAAAGTCTTTGGTTTCTACGCTGATAGAAAATCAGAAAATAGCTCCCCTGTGGTACTGGGTAATTTGCAAGCTTTATAGGGAGCAATGTTTTAAGAGCAGTTTGGATCTGAGATAATTGGGTCATAACCTGCAGGCCTATATACAGCTAATAAAACAAGCTGTTCTAGGAAGATGCAGCCATAGGACATGAGGTTTATGGACTGCATAATTGTTTCTGTGCATCATTTTTTAATTTTTTTTTTTTAAAGGGGCAGTTTAAGCATCATAATCATTACAACCTTTTGCATTCGTTTTGGTGCTAGCAAGCTATGTGCCATCCCCCTGATTGTATCAAACCTTTTCCCTTTTTCATATGTTTTAGCACAGACTCAGGATCTTGCAAAACAAATGCGTTCTGGTCCCTTTCTCGACATAGTGTTAATGCAGAATTAACAATTCCAAATTAGCGATTTCAGTTTTGTCTAATACAGTTGACACTTCTGACCAATCATCACTTGACTCAAAACTGGGGGATGGTGCTAGTAGTCTGCTAGCACCATACCACTACAATGTGCTGCAGTGGTCAAGGTACATAGACCATCTGTTTGAATGTAAAAAAAAAAGATTGTCAGTAAGAACATCAGTGTATGTTGGGCATCTTAGAATTTGAAAAAAATTAAGAGACAGATCACTAAATCCACAAATGACATCATATTTAATATTACAGAAGTGTTTTCTTGAAGAAGATATGATTAATATATAAAAAATAACATCAAGTTATAACACAAAAGAACACAAGATTATCTATTGATTATAGATGGAATATAAAGTTATCAACAGTCAAAGCAAGGTTTATTTACAATTAGGCTGTTTAACCCGTCCTACAATGACTGCCAGTAATCTACTCAGCTACAGTGAGCAATCTAAAGTTAATTAAAGGAATTCTAGAACACCGTTAGCACTGATAGTTTTCCGGAGGACTGGCTGGGCAGAAACTAAAAATTTGGAATTTGCATCTCAGAGATGATGACTTAATAGTGGGATTTAATGCACTACACTTGCAAGTTTATTCACTAAGGTCAGAATTCAAAGTCAGCTACAAACCTATGTTCAAAAGAGTCAGTATGCTATTAATGTGGGTACTCTGGCCTTACATTTAAAAATTCTCAATTTAGTAAATAACTCTGCTAATTGTAGGGCTTTGAAAAACAAACTGCGACATCTGGGCTAAACCAGACAAACAGTCACTATAGCTAAGTTGGAGAATTTTGTTTTCGCCAAATCTATTTTTATGTCTACATTTTGTTATTTGATTTTCAATTCAGTACAATTCAATGTTTGGTGAGTAAACCACATTTATTTCAAACTAGTATTTTTGAGATCTGTATGAGAAAAAAAAAACCAACAACAATGATATGAATTATAGTATTACAATTTAGATAGAACATCTATTTTATCCAACATAAATATCATGATAATGATGTACTAATTCTCTGTAAAGTTCTATAAAATAATTCCCAGTGAAGTACCATATAACCACTTAAATGGACACTATAGGCTCATTGAAGTGGTCTGGGTGCATATTCCCAGGTCCCTTAACACTTAACTTATTGAGAAACTGCAATAATTACTATGCAGGGTTAATGCCACCGCTAGTGAATTCAACCCCTTCTGCACCACAGTGAGGGGGGAGGCACTATAGGGAGGTTTTCCTGACACTATAGTTTCCCTTTAATTATTTTGTATTTTTCCATTCTATTTACAAGCACTTTTTGTTTTAAAAATATTAGCATAGCATTTATTTGAAAAATGGGATGCATAGCTAACATATAAACACAGGGTAAACAGCAACTGGGTGTATAGATTGCTGTTCTGAGATACGTAAAAATATTGAAAAGTTTCACAATTTTATTTTTTGTTTTTTGGGGCGATATCTGGTAATATATCAGCATTTGAAGTATTAGTATATAAGTATAAATACCTATTTTGTCATATGTAGTAAATGTAAAAAAAAAAAAAAAAGATAACAAATAGTACACTGCTTATCAATATTAATTTGAACCTGGTGGCTTTTTTCAGCAATGAAGCTTTCTAAAAATACCACCAGGAAAGTAAAAAAAATGACTGTATGTGGTCTATAATAGTATAGATTTGTATTGTATCGTAAATAATCCACACTCTGTACTGATAAACATTTCCCTCCCTCCTTCTTGATTCCTAGAATGCATTAATAACGTTTCTCCTTACTGTCTGTGAGGAAGCAAGTTGGAGCTGCCCATTTAAGACCCCTTGCAAGGATGTATAGGGAGGGAATGAAGCTCTTGCTTGAGAAATGTGTTTATCTCTGGTAGGAAATACAAATCTGCACTGAAGGGTAAGGTAAGTAGAGCTTAGTGGGCTAACTTTTATTTTGGATCTATATAGCCAATGTTTGTGGAATTTTGTAAAAGCTGAATATATGATCTTGACAGTGAATAGGTTATATTATTATTATTATTATGTTATTTATATAGCGCCAACAAATTCCGCAGTGCATTACAGCTGGTGGACGAACAGACGTAGTTGTAACCAGACAAGTTGGACACACAGGAACAGAGGGGTTGAGGGCCCTGCTCAATGAGTTTATATGCTGGAGGGAGTGGGGTAAAATGACACAAAAAGGTAAGGATAGTATTAGACTAGTGACAGTTGCAGAAGAGGAATCAGTCGGGAGCTATTAACAGTTTAATTGATACGCTTTTATGAAGAAGTGGGTTTTTAATGATTTTTTGAAGGAGTGGAGACTGGGTGAGCATCTAACTGAGGAGGGAAGCGAGTTCCACAGGAACGGTGCAGCCCTCGAGAAATCTTGACGGCGAGCATCAGAGGTGGGAGTACGGACAGAAGATAGAGATAAGTCTTCAGCAGATCGTAAGGGCCTAGTCGGGACATACTTGTGTATAAGGGAGGATAGATAGGTGGGAGCAGCATTATGTATCAATTTGAAAGCAAGAACCAGAATTTTAAATTGAGCTCTATATTTTATATGTAGGGACTGACAGAAGGGTGAGCCATGAGAGGTGCGGGTGGACAGGAAGATGAGCCTCACTGACGCATTCATTATGGACTGTAACGGCGCAAGTTGGGAGCACGTAAGACCACTGAGAAGCGGATTACAGTAGTCAAGGACAGTAGTCAAGGACAGTGGAATGGACCAACACCTTAGTCGCATCTGGCGTTAAGTAGGGGCGGATGCGTGCAATGTTTTTGAGATGGAAATGACAGGATTTGGCAATAGATTGAACATGAGGCTTGAAGGAGAGGTCGGAGTCAAAGAAAACACCTAGGCAGCGAGCCTGTATGGTGGAGCTGATGGTAGCACTGTTGACTTAGAGGGAGACAGACACAGGAGTAACATTATTATAACAATAATATTATATATATAATTTGATATGTTCTATTCTAGAATAATGACTGATCGTCCTTCATCGAGCGTTAACATAAGCCTGTTACTATGGATGCATTGTAAGAGAGTTGACCATTTTTCTATTTACTGCAAGGGCTACATGTAAACTGCATTTGAAAAAGTTAAAGGACCACTCTAGGCACCCAGACCACTTCAGCTTAATGAAGTGGTCTGGGTGCCAGGTCCTTCTAGGGTTAACCCATTTTTTTATAAACATAGCAGTTTCAGAGAAACTGCTATGTTTATGAATGGGTTAAGCCTTCCCCCTAATCCTCTAGTGGCTGTCTCATTGACAGCCACTAGAGGCGCTTGCGTGCTTCTCACTGTGATTTTCACAGTGAGAGCACGCAAGCGTCCATAGGAAAGCATTGTAAATGCTTTCCTATGCGACGGGCTGAATGCGCGCGCAGCTCTTGCCGTGCGTGCGCATTCAGCCCAGGAGGAGGAACGGAGGAGGAGAGAAGGAGGAGAGCTCCCCGCCCAGCGCTGGAAAAAGGTACGTTTTTACCCATTTCCCCCTTCCAGAGCCAGGCGGGAGGGGGACCATGAGGGTGGGGGCACCCTCAGGGCACTATAGTGCCAGGAAAACGAGTATGTTTTCCTGGCACTATAGTGGTCCTTTAAGCAAAGTCATGGCTTTTTATATGAAACTGAAGAATTGTGACTGATTTATAGAAGTTCACAGATTAGAAAGAATTGACTTTCTAAACCAAATTTCCAGTATAAGAAACAAAATATAACATTACATATCTGAAATTTGTTAATACAAAGGGGTATACAGGCATGACAGACTACACGTCCAGGATTTGAATTTCCATGTCAGAAGAAAACATACTGTGGCATTAATGGCATTCTCCACTGTCCAAATTATACTCTGTATTTAGAGTAGGGGTTGTTAGTAGACAGAACCATGGAAAAAACATCCGAATTGGCCCTATCAGGTGTTAAAGCAGATTTAAAGTAGCTTGTAACTCTTTTTCTCATATAAAGTGCAAGATGCACTATAATTGAGGGACTCTGCGTATCAAAACTTTTTTGAAACCCCTTAACCAATGGTCTGGAGAGTTTACGGTATTTATTTTTTACCTTTTATAAAAACATTTATTACTTTTGGTTAAGGTTTTTCTCTGACATTTTATTAGACTTTAGATGAATCTAGATGTAAGAAGGTTTCTGAATAGTTGTTGGTGTTTTTTTTACTTTGAGGATCCCTGACAAACTAGAGAGTGATGATTTTTTATTAGGGCTTTTATTAGGGCTGAAAAATTTGGGTGCAATTTAGATTTATCAGAATTAACAATAGAAGACAGGTATCAGTGGAAGGAGGAGTGATAATACAATTGTCCACGGTAATCGTAAACTAGTAGGGTAGTCTCTGAAGAATCTAAGTCAATATTAATGTATTGATCTCAGATATTACATAGTATTTGAATATTTAGATTTCAAGTACCTTCCAAATAAATTCTATAGAACCATTGCCCAGTGATGCTGTATTATTGAAGTACCGTATATACTCGAGTATAAGCCGAGTTTTTCAGCACATTTTTTGTGCTGAAAAACCCCAACTCGGCTTATACTCGAGTCAGTGTCTGTATTATGGCAATTTACATTGCCATAATACAGACTGGGGGCTGGCAGCGAGCGCTTACCTCTCCTGCAGCTCCTGCCAGCTCCCTCCTCCTCCGCGCCGGTCCGGTCAGCACCTCGGTCAGCTCCCAGTGTAAGTCTCGCGAGAGCCGCGGGGTCATAGTGCGGCTCTCGCGAGACTTACAGTGTGAGCTGACAGAAGAGCTGCACGGACCGGCGCGGAGGAGGAGAGAGCTGGCAGGAGCTGCAGGAGAGGTAAGTAACAGCTCTGCCAGCCCCCCTCCTCCCCCCACTGAACTGCCAATGCCACTGGACCACCAGGGAAGGAGAGCCCCCCTCCCTGCCATGTATCAAGCAGGGAGGGGGGACAAAACATAAATAAAATAATAATACATAAAGAATAAAAATAATAATAAAAAAAAAATTAAAAAAATAATATATAAATAATAAAAATAATAATAAAAAATAATATAACAAAAAAATTTAAATAATATCAATTAATAATATATAAATATAAATAATAATAAAAAAATAATTAAAAAAATAATATAACCCAAAATTTTTTTTTTTTTATAAAAATGCCCACCCCCCACCAAAGCTCTGCAACACAAACACACACTGCATCACACACACACACACTGCATTCATACACACACTGCATTCATACACACTGCGCACTCATACACACTGCGCACTCATACACACAGCGCACTCATACACACACAGCGCACTCATACACACAAAGCGCACTCATACACACACACTGCACTCATACACACACTGCGCACTCATACACACACTGCGCACTCATACACACTGCATTCATCATATACACACACTGTAAATAAATATTCAATTAATATAATTTTTTTAGAATCTAATTTTATTTAGAAATTTACCAGTAGCTGCTGCATTTCCCACCCTAGTCTTATACTCGAGTCAATAAGTTTTCCCAGTTTTTTGGGGTAAAATTAGGGGCCTCGGCTTATATTCGGGTCGGCTTATACTCGAGTATATACGGTAGTTTCAGCAATGCTACAGAACATTCTTGAAATGTAAACTACTAATTGTCTGTACAGATTTGGATTAGCATGGGGATTAAATCTAGAATCCTCACATTGCTTTTTGAATAAGAAGTTACTAGCAAAAAAAAGTAGTCTTCACAAATTCCATTCTTCTTAACAGTAATCAGTAAAATATAGTTAGTCTCCAGTCCAAAGAAGCCCTAAGGTGTGTATTTTTTGAAGCACACTAATTTTAAACCCATACACCTTTTTCATTAGATCTGAAAATAACTTAATAGGATGACATATTTTGCTTGGCTATCCTCTTTTATTCAAGACCATATGTGCTGTTTCTCGACTAAGTTTCCGAAAATTCTCAGCCACTTTAAAATTGTATTTTATAAATAGCATGTGGGTCAAATTATTACCAACTTGTTCTGGATTATAGGATTCATGGTAAGTCTCAAGATGTGAATGTAAAAACCTGTAAATAAATAATAAGTTAATAAGTCTCAGAAAATAGAGCTTAATAGCTTTCACAAAATATGCAATATTTATTCTGGTTAGAATGTATATAATGGATCACGTATTCCAGCTCTGATAATTCCTGTTAAATTGTATGAGTATTGACATTAATTACATCACTTTTTACAGAACACTTGCAAAAATTACAAAACAAGCATTGTTACCACCAAAAGGTTCCCTGGTTTATATAATTTACTTGTTAATAGCACTCAAAATACCTGCGTCATAGAATGCATGAAAGCTATGGTTTCCCAGCAGTCATCATTTTGCACAGCTTGAAATTGCAATTGCTGTCATCACAATAATGGTGGCAAAGGCACTAAATATTTTAGAGAGTTAGTAATGCCAAATGGTTTGATTATACTTTTCATTCATGATAATACAAGGAGACCAATATAAAAGGGTTCCCTGTTTTTAAGACAAGTGACCTTTCTGGTTTAGACCTCAACACCAATTCCGCAGCTACCATAGAACCTTCGCTGGTATCTCTCGCCACTTTCCAATAAGCAGCTCACACACATTAAATTGAAGAGAAAGACTTCTTTTTGATTCATTTTTGTAATAAAATTGTGATTGTGTAACAACATGCAGTGCAGAACTTTTTTTTTTCAATTAAAGGCAGTTATCAGAAGAATCAGAGATCAGAGAAAACCCAGACACATAGCAAGAGTTTTTTTTTCCTTGATTGAGGTCAATCAAAATGCTTTTGCAGTTTCCGCATTAAAAAAAAAAAAAAAAAAAAACACACAACCAAAGATAAATGGATTTTCCCTGCCACTAGAGTAAGAAAAAACAGACATAAAACAACAAAGCAGTATTTTCATTAACGTCTTTGCTTCTAGAGGGACCTGTAAATTATTGCTCCAAACTCAATCCGCACCCAGGGTTCCTCTCCAGCAGCAGAGAGACGATGATGAAAAAAATAAAATTATATATATCTGAAATGAGGGCTCCGTGGATCCATCACTTGCTACGTTCTCCCCTCTGTGGGGGGGATGAATAGATTTTTGGCTCCAGTTGCACCTGTTGTAGAAAAAAAAAATGCATTTGTTTACAACAAATATTGAATGACATATGCATATCTCCCCCTCCCTCCTCTCGATAGGTAGGTAGATAGATTGATACATACAAAATGTGATCTCTATTTTTTAAATTAATTTCAAGAACTCTTTCCTCTGGTGTAGGTGAAATCTTATTTTATGCATATACATATGCATGGATCTGTATACAAAATGAAATGTTTACTTTTAGCCATCAATCTGTAGGCATATACAAATTGATAATGGAGGAGAGGGAGTGGAGGGGGCTTTTAAAAATGGAGCATAAAAAAAAACAAAAAAACAAAAAACTTACTCAGTGTTCCTCCCAGTACATCTTTAAGGGTGTTCTATATGGTTGCTATGTTTACTTGTATCACTTTTCTCTGTTTCCTCTCCTTTTTGGACAGATCCACCAGATATATTTCCTAGAATTAAAGCAAAACATGTTTTATTGTTTCAACTATGATCCACAAATTAACAATACTTGGCAAATAAATCCTAGGGAGGAATATCAATGGCAGATAAGACCATGTACATCAACTTGCCACCCTACCCAAGAACACAGGAAACAATTAAATACAATATTTATATTTTATTTATAAACAGAGCACATTAAAAAATGAAAATTATTCATTAGAAATAGTAGCACACAATTTTGTTGTACCATAAGCTTCAGAACCATAACAGCAATTGAATAGGTTCACTATATCACCTCTTTTTCTGCTAGTGTCCCATAGTAAAAAAAGAAAACAAAAACAAACAAACTAACACTTATTCACATTAATTTTCCAGCATTCATTTTACCCACAAAGTGACATTTTAAATAGCAGGGATTGCAAACAGCATTTTAATTAAAGAACCCTATAACCTACCCTACTGCATGGTTTGGTTGTTGTGGGACAGATACCCTGATGTCTGTGCGTGGCAATGCAAATGGAGGGCAAGAAATCCATTATATTACATAAAGGGACAATGTTCTCTAGAATACTGTGCTGCCGACTTAAGGTTCCGGAAACGCTTCACTTATGGGAATAAAACAGCTTTTGTTGCATGTGACAATCTCATAGACCGATAGAATGCAGACAGACAGATATTAAAATATACTGAAGTGTAATATCTGTATGTGATAAGATGTGTCTCTGTGTAGTGTTTAGATCACAACATGTCCAGAATGCTGTGCAAAATATGCAAATAAGTGTATATATAGTATCAACATAATTTTATTATTTACATAATTTAGTTAAGCTAACTGTGTTCTTATTCCTCTTTTCATATGCACACATTGTTTAATTTTGATTTGATTAAATATAAAGTAAAAGTATGACACAATTTAACTTATACTCACCTTCTGAAATATCTGCTTGACAGTCTTGACTCCTTCCCAGGGAATTTTTATTTTGTTGTCCATCGTGAGTAAAACAGCTACAAGAGCTTTGTTGCTGAGAAGCATCAGTTGAAGCTGTATTACCATGGCAACAGCACCCATGATTTGGTCTGTCATCCAAGCTATTCTGGCGTTGCAGATTTCCCTCTTCCTCTGATCCCTGTTTGCATAGGTGATGCTCGGCTAATAGCTGTAGTTCTGAGGATAAAGAAAAAGTGAGATGCAGTGAAAAGTCAATTACTGTCTAAATTTGCTAATCATATGCAACCATCCACAGAGCAAGCACTGTCACCAACCTAAACATATAATGCATTCTTTAATATGACCACTAGATGCCAGTATTATCCTGCATGTCAATTTATATCTATTAGAGTAAACTCTGTGCTTTTTTTTAATTATTATTAATAATCATGTAAGTGCATAAGGATCCTACTTAAATATATTCTGTAATAGAATTTTCATTTTTTAGGTTAGTAATACAATATCATAGTAGGTGCATTCAGTTACTTACAACAGGCATATGAACAAGAAACCTATTACTTCACTCTGTGCCAAAAGCAACTTTTATTCAAACTTTGACCCACAATAATTGTGGAATCATACTAAAGTCAGCTACTTGATCTCTCAGGAACCTAACTGAAAAGGACTGCTTTGTGAGGTCTTCCCTGGGCTTAAATTTTCTTAAAAAAAAGGGTGGAGAATACTTGTCTCCAGCCATGGGTGTTGTCTCCATTAAAAAAAAAAAAAAAACGTCCAACCCCCTTAGATTACTAAATAGCTTCACCCACTACCCATATGTGAGGACTGAGAGTGGACCATGAGATGTCTGCCCCCACCCCCCAGTTATTAAAGGGACACTATAGTCACCAGAACAACTACAGCTTATTGCATTTGTTCTGGTGAGTAGAATCATTACCTTCAGGCTTTTTGCTGTAAACATTGCCTTTTCATAGAAAATGCAGTGTTTACATTACAGCCTAGTGATAACTTCACTGGCCACTCCTTAGATGGCTGTTAGAGATCCTTCCTGGATCATTGCTGCCTAAAATGCATCCAAACATTCAGTGTCTCCTCCCTCTGCATG